CGGTGAGCCGAGCTGATGACACAAGAGCCTGAGCAGCCAACATAGACGGGACCACCAGCAAACCAGCGGAGCGAAGGCGGGTCTCTTCAGCACGAAGCTCAGCAAGCACCTCCGAGATAGGAACACGGCCACGAGCAAGCAAGTGAGCACGTCGCAGCTCAAACTCAGAGCGGAGACGAGATAAGAACTCATGGACCCGCTGAAACTCCAGATCAGACCGAGTAGTCTGACAGCAACGATAGGTGCCACAGACAACTGTCCGAAGAGAGTCAAGCTGACGCCAGATGGCAGAGCACTGTGAATAGAACTCATCAACAGAGGAATCACCTTGCTGAAGGGCGTGCTCCTGACGCACCACAGATAGGTAGAGAGCATCACCAGAGGGCTCATAGCGCTGACAAAGATAAGCCCACATCGCTACAACTGTGCCAAGTCCCATGAACTCTGAAGCAAACCGAGGGAGGACACTGGCAGTGAGAACAGCAGCAGCACGAGCATCATCATTGCACCACTGAGTGTAAGCACAGAGGTCATCGCGGTACACCGAAAGAGCATCGGATTAAGAAGATACCTGCTGATCATAAGTATCAACTGCAGCATCATCAAGGGCCTTGGCGGCATCCCGGTCAGCCTGAGAGGCCTCAGCAGCAAGTACCGGCGGCACCGGTGGGATTGGGGCCACGGGCGCAACAGGGCATGGCGGGCAGGGGACCTCGCCAGAAAAAACACCCCACAGAAGAAGGCCACGCATATGGATGCGCATGAACCCCACAAACTCAGCATAGTTGATGCCATCGAAGGTCACGAAGCACCTAGGAACTGCAACATAGCCCGAAGAAGACATGAGGGAACTCTGTTTTTCTCCTCTCTGTTTTTTTGGCCAATGCTTCCCGATCTGGATCGGGGCGGAGAAACTCACGGTAGCACCGAGTGGGGAATCGGGAGGCCTAGAGGAGCGCCGGCCCTGGGCCGCACCTGCAGCAGCAGAGGAAGCAGCGGCAGCTGCAGCTAGATGCAAAGGAGGCGGCCTGGGCAACCAGAGACGCGCAGTAGTAGAGGAAGCAGCGGCAGCTGCAGCTAGATGCAAAGGAGCCGGCCTGGGCAACCAGAGACGCGGTTGGGGCGCAGCCTGGGGAGGGCAAGGCCTGGACGCGGCCGGGGCGCGGCCTAAAGCGCGGCTGGGGCGGGGCCAGGACGCGGCAGGGGCGAGGGGCGCGACCAGGGCGAGGCCTGGGCGCAGCCGGGCGGGGAGGTCGTGGCCTGGGAGCGGGTGAGCTCGGCGGGCACGGGCAGGGGTGGCCGGGCGTGGAGAAGGTGGCCGGCAGCGAGGAAGGAGATGGCCGGCGACGGGGAAGCTCGGCACCAAGCTGCAGCGTGCGGGAGAGAAAGAGGAACCTGGCAACTGATACCATGTTGGATAAGTGAGCAACTGATTTCACAGAAGGGCCAAAGGCCAGTACATATACATGTGTATGGCAAAGTGTAAGAGACCTCTTATACAATGGGAATGAACCGAAAAGGGCTATAGACATCTAACAGTATCCATGCTCTCAATGTCTATAGTCCGAACTGTCATTTGTTAACACGCAGCCTCAGAGTGCTCCGCAGCGGCTTGGCCGTCCCGCCTCCTTGTCCCCGGTCCCGATCCGCTTCAGTCGGCAATTATCCTCCTCCGCCGCTGCACAGCGCGGGGCCACCGTCGCCCCCAGCCTCTGTCTACAAGAAGTAGTGGTGAGGGGCGGCGAACCCGTTCTAGAGAGGCGGCGTCACCGGTCTCCATCTCAGGATCACATATCTGGTCAACATCCTGATGATCTCTGCCACCTCCCTCTTCCCGATAAACTTTCCTGTTGGATATAGGCGCCCACGCAGCATTCGCATTTCCTGCTGCGGCCAACGGAACTCTTGTCCCCGGTACGTCATTCTTTCCTACCTTCAGCAAAGTTCCCAGGGTACCATTTGCTGTTATTCTGCGATGAAATGATTGAAATTGCGAAGAAGGGAATTTGGGAATGGGAGGGAGGGAAATGTGGGGTTAGGAAGAAGCTGGCTGGCATAAAAATGGTGAACATCCTTTGGCTAATTTCATTGTTGTTCACCTTCGCTGATACATCCGATGGCTTAATATAATGCCGCCCACCACCACACACACAAACTCTTGGACACACGTGTACAAGAGGCGTCAGGACCAGTGTAATCCTCATCAATGACACATTATCTTTATCATCATACCTTTCGAAAGAATTAGTATCACAATCCTGGAATTTTGTTCCTTTAACTATTTGCAATGTACATTGGCTGTCTTGTTGTACCCACCAGCGTTTTCTTCATTATTAGGATCAACAGAGTGTGAAGACGTTGAACATTCCATTGATTATTTGCAAATATCAATTACTATTTTTTCTTCAAACTCCACACCTAAGTGCATATATTTTGTATTAGAAGAGGAGAACGTCAAGTTGGTGCCACTATTACGATGCCACCAATGGTGACGGCAGCCAAAAAATTCAATTTATATTATTTTGTTACCCTTATGAAATGATCGTACTCTTCCTTTCATACCCTCCTTTTTCCTGATTCATCTTTCTTCACCAGCCATGGGCCATGAGAAGTGAGTTTGGGAAGGGCTTGCAACTTGCCGCCCTTCCATGATCGGGGAGGATGGTTTTTGAACTGTGTTAGAGTTAATATACATAAAACGGGATGTGTGTTGGAGTTTCTTAACATCTATATAAGGTAAAAGTGAACTCTTGAGTTTAATGTTAAGTACTAAATGGCAATATAGAAAGGAGTACACTCTTAAAGAACAAGTTAGAATTCGAATATAGTATTTTCTAGTTACACCAATATATAATAACTGGTATCTGGTATCTAGTAGTATCTAGCACTGGGGCCACAGTTGTCATAGACGTTATTTTAGTCAATTTTTCCTTCAAACTACTCTTGTTTCAGATAATGGAGTTGAGAGCCTTTCAATTATGATTATCAGCACACAAACCCCTGTGCTAGAGTTTTTTATTGGGCCACAAGTGTCATCACTGATGTTCTTTTTCTTTCGTATGTGACCCAGTAGCTGAAGACAAGAAATGGCCAAAGTGGAGCACATTATGCCTGACGTAGAGATAGAGGAACTGGGTAATTCAATGAAGAGTGAGCTGATAAGCTGTATTTCATCACATATTGATTATGACAGTGGTTCTGAATTCTGCTTGATACCAAGAATACATCCGCACATTCGTATGATAGATAGAAATTCTTATGACCCAATAATGTTGTCAATTGGCCCTTATAACAATGGATCTTCAGCACTTTCTTCTATGGAGAGTGAAAAATGGAACCGCTTGGACTACATCCTTAAGTTGAATTGTGAGAAGGGTCTGAAAGATTACTTGACCATCATAAACAGACTAGAGAAAAGAGCAAGGATGTGTTATTCTGGGGATATTAAAATGAATAAGAGGAAGTTCTTGCAGACTCTCTTGCTTGATGGATGTTTTGTCCTTGTTTCACTCGGAGGACTCAATGAATTTATAAGTGCTGGACCCCAAAGAGCCACGGCTAGTTCATCACATGCCGAAATAGTTGAGGAAGAAATGACTTCTGGACAGCCAAACTTAACAGAGAGAATTGATATTCAACAAATAAACACCAGGAACCAGAATGACATAATAAACATTGTAGTAGAAGAAAATACAGTGCCTGAGATCGAGTTATGTTTGGAAATCAGTGACCATCAAACAGAGCAATGTGTATATCAGGATAACACTAGACAGATCGGACAGTGGTATGATATCTTTGTTATACATGATCTACTCTTGCTGGAGAACCAAATTCCCTTTTTCATAGTTGAGGCAATATATGAGGTAGTAAGTTCAAACAAGATGACACCAACGTGTAAATCAGGTGTTGCTAGATTTATAGAAATGACCCTGCCATTCTATCCAACAGCAATACGAGAATCCAGTCGCCCAATAGATTTTGATCATTTGCTTCACCTGTGTCATATGTATTTCAGACCCAGTTCTAACGAGCAAGAGCACAAGGAGCTCACAGCGCAACACTACATTCATCAGTTCCTTCAGCTGGGACAGGGTTATCTCAGCCATTTAGGTTTGTCGCAGGATGACCATTTTCCTAATCGATGGCGCCGAGCAACACAGTATCATGAAGCTGGCATTGAGTTTAAGAGGAGAACATATTCTGAGCATAATCCCCATTCACTCCTGGATATAAAACTCAGAAATGGTATCCTGGAATTCCCCTTCTTGTTTGTGGATGACCAAACCAGTGTCCTTTTCAGAAACTTCATTGCACTAGAGCAAACATGTCCGCAAGTCGGAAATGATGTGACTGCTTACATTATCTTCCTGGCTAAGCTGATGAGCATGCCAGATGATATAGCACTGCTGGCTCGAAAGGGGGTCATCGCACATCATATGCGCAGCGACAGAGATGTATCGCAGCTCTTTACCAGGCTGACAAAAGGTGTTGTCTTCGATTTCTATGGGAACTATTACCTAAATCACATGTGTTTAGCCCTGGAGGCATATTATCAAAACCGTCTGCACAGGTGGGTTGCGTGGCTGAGGCACAACCATTTGAGCAATCCATGGTTGGTTGTCGCAGCGTTGGCTGGTGTTATTGTGCTTTTCTGCACCATTGCACAGACCGTCCTTACTGTCGAGTCTTATGTAAATCCCAAGTAAGCACTGGGCGTAAATTGACTATGGGATTCGGATTTATCTATGTCCACTTTTAGTCCCAAAGAAAATAAACTATCTCCATCTCTCCGTACCATCTGCCATTTGTGACCTGGAGATCGATCATACTATTACTTTGCCAGTTAGAGTTGCAAACGACCTCCTCAAGAACTGGCCATATTGGCTTGTCATCTAGTATCATGCTCATGCATGCCTGGGTGTGGTCAATAACCGTGATATTTTGAAATTACATCATTGATATGATTTTATTCTGGGGCATTTTTGTTTTTTTATTACTCCTCCGTTCCAAAAGATAATGTGTGTTAAGTTTTTTAGAAGTCAAACCTGTCTATGTCTGACCAAGTTTACAGAACCTACAATACCAAATAAATAAAATATGAGAAAATATTTAATGATGGGTCTAATGATGTTAATTTGGGATATCGACATTTTATTCGAAAAACTTGGTCAAATATAGAAAAGTTTGACTTAAAAAAACCTTATGTTCTGGAATAGAGAGAATACTTTTGTTGATATGGTAGATGATGATCTTTTATTCCTTTTAACAAAGCGACCATAGATATATCTAATCATATGGTCATGTAGTATGTTATGCGCAGTAATTAGTCCATCATTATCTCCAGTGCCTTGATTCTTAAATAATTACTTCCTCTGTTCCAAATTATCAGATGTTTTGGTAGGCTAAAATAGCCTAACAAACCGTCTTATAATTTGAGACGGAGGTAGTACTTTTCTTCTGCTAAATTGATGTGTGAGTTTCCTGTTTTTTTTTCTGATTAGTGTGGGAATATCTAACTTGTTTTCACCCTGGGGTTAACATGAGCTCATGTTCGGATGTTGTATATGAGTAAGCATGAATGCATGATCAGTGCGCATCTCCGTGTTGTATGGAATGGAAGGTTTGTCGAAAGAATCGGACTGTAGCTTCTCGGGGATTCTGCACACAAGTGATTCCGTGTACACATTCTCATAATCTACTGCTGAAAAGAACTAGTAGGACATAATGTGGTTGTTAGATATCGAAGTATTCAAACAAAGATTTATGCCCGTGAATACTACTCCCTCCGTCTCATAATGTAAGACGTTTGAAAGTATTTGTTACGAATCTAGGAGTCTTTTGTGATGAATAATAATTTTGAGTTTTGGAACTATAGGTGTTAGTTTATAGAATTTGTTCAATGAATATTCGTGTCGAAAACATGAACTGCTGATGGGCAAATCAGTTTTCTGTGTCCTCGCATCTCAAACTGTATCATTCGCAGTACAAATGGGTACAGTTTAAATGAACTAATTAAAATTGACTTTTAAGCTTAGCCCAGCATCTGCTAAGCACCTAGAGTTACACCATTTTCTTACGGACAATCCAGTGATACATGCAACGGTGGAAAAATACGAGACACTTGTATATTAAATTGGTAGATATTTATTTCAAAACGAAAAAGAAAAAGAAATGAGCGAACCGTCCAGAATTCCAACCTGGAGCTCTCATTTCCTCAAAAATAGATCAGGGGAAAAAAGGTTAACCACACGAGGAGCCACACACGACTGTAACACATATAGGCGGCTCCCACCAACCACGGCGACGGCGGCAGCGGCCACGGAGGAGGGCGGCGGATCAGCGGCGCCGGCGATGGCGTCCGTGGCGGCGGTGGAGGGCGCGGCCGCGGCGCTCCGGTCGGTGCTGTCGCGCGCGCAGCAGGCGGCGGCGCGGGCGGGGCGCGCGCCGGAGTCGGTGCGCGTGGTGGCCGTGAGCAAGACGAAGCCCGTGGGCGTCATCCGCGGCGTGTACGACGCCGGCCACCGCTGCTTCGGCGAGAACTACGTCCAGGAGCTCATCGACAAGGCCCCCCAGGTTGTACCCCCAGCTGAGAAGCTCGAAATTTTTATCCCCCTTTCTGGCCGCGTGAATGAACTGCTGATTTGGAACGTGAATGGAGAACAAGTCGCTTAGTGATTTCATTCCAGAGTTATCACCTATGTTCAGTTAGCATTTGAGCTGGGGTTTCAATAGGTGCTCATTATTCGTACGCCCTGTACACCACAGATGAATTAGGCCATGCCAGAAAACATATGAATTGATGAGCAATAGGAATTTTGCCAACTGGTTAAATTCAATGTAGATATTCTATTGGAATCCTGTACTATGTGATCCGTGGGAGAAATTCTAAGGTTTATGGTCCTAAAAAACAAATAACCACCTTTGGAGGAGAATTTATAAGGATTGAAATCCTACAAAATTCCTGTGATTCAAATAGGCCCCAAATATATAAAGACCATCCGAATGTCCATGTTCGCTTTGTTTGCTATCCTCTGTCAATGTTACGCAGGAAGCTTGGTTCGCACCCGCTATCTTCTGGCAATGTTATGCAGGAAGCTTGGTTCGCACCAGAGGGTACAAACATATCCCGTATAGAGGTGTATGCCGAACATCAGACATTACTTCATATAACCAACCAATATTCGAAGATTTGGCCATATTTTCCCAGCAATTGAAAGTTTTCCACTCTTAATGATTTCGGAAATATTCCAAACAGTTAAATTGCTATACTTGCATGGTAGTGCAGGGCTTGAGAACTATGTTTCATAGTCCGTAAAATCAGTGACCTAATTCTTTTCAGTCATTGAGTTGTCTGAGCAAGTGTTCTTCTTGTTGCAGCTTCCAGAGGATATTGAGTGGCACTTCATTGGGAACCTGCAGAGCAACAAAGCCAAAGCCCTGCTAGGTTAGTGTCTTCATTCTTGTTTGGATATTCTGGCAGATACAAGTCTTCTTAACTTTCGATTTTCAGTTGCTTAGGTTTGCCGCTCTTAAATAGTTATATATTACTCACACCACTTATTTTTATCTTGCCCTGTATGATTTGTCCTAAATAAGGTTTTAGATAGGTAACATATGCAATAAATTAGGAGTATTTACAGAATAATGTGGCTTGGTGTTGACAAATGCTTGAGTCTGGTGTCTTGGCTCAAGAGATGGTTAAGTACTAGTTACTTTATTCTAGAATAATTGGCTGGTTTCGTTTCGTATTGCGGTGTGCGATCTCTGTTTGTAAACTGTTTCTTCATTAATGAATGACAGAGCTCATGTTTCATCTATAAAAAGTTAGAGATATTCCTATTTTACTTAATATATGTGTTCACTTCTGTACACAAGTTCATACCTGATATCTTCTCTACTTTATTGCTCACTATTGAGCTAATTTTATTCTTCTTAACCTACAGCTGGTGTACCAAGTCTTGACATGGTTGAGAGCGTAGACGACGAGAAGGTATATGAACAGTTTATGTTGTCTTGTGGTTTATTCGACTGCAATTTTGTTCTAGTTTATGTTGCCTTCTTAAGGGTATATTTTTGCCTAGTCAAGAAAAAGTATGTTTTCCAGGCTTAGCTTTATTCTTATCGTATTTTCCATAATAATATTTTATTGCGCCACTAGGCCTTGAAATGTGTTGGCATCTTTCTGGGTTTTTTTTCTCTCAATAAAAATGCAAAGCTTGTCTCTCTCCATTCATCTTGTTGCAAGACCAGATTCTCGATTGTGCATCTGCAACGAGGTTGAATCTAATATTTGTTTCTTTTTTCAGATCGCAAATCGTCTTGATCGGGTGGTAGCTGATTTGGGGAGAAAACCTCTTAAGGTCTTGGTCCAAGTTAACACAAGTGGAGAAGAATGTGGGTACTCTAGTTCTCTTCTTTAATACAGTTGTGAACATGCTGGCTTGATACGCAATTTCTCAATATGAGAACCTGTGTCTTTAGTTCTGAGCACTGGTACGCAGCACATTGTTTGTAGCTACTGTTAGGTGTTTGTTAGTAATGAGCTTTGCTAGATGACGGCATATTATACCTGTCCGAGGATTGCTAGGCTGAAGATATGTGGTCCTCAGACCCTGTTACTATTTTGCAGCAAAATTTGGAGTAGATCCCTCAGGGTGTGTGGGATTAGCAAAACATGTCAAGTCAAGCTGCCCAAATCTTGTATTTTCTGGTTTGATGACAATTGGAATGCTTGATTACTCCTCAACTCCAGAGAATTTCAAGGTATATTCTGAAGCACAAACTTAATTGGACTGATATGCTTCATAGGGCTAATTTGTGCTGCTTGCTGAATGCTTAGGCATTGACTAGTTGCCGGAAGGAGGTATGCGATGAACTTGGAATACCAGAAGAGCAGTGCGAGCTGTCAATGGGCATGTCTGCTGATTTTGAGCAGGCGGTAAGGAACATGTTACAAGAAGATAACTCAGAGATATACAAACTGAATATAATGTCTAATGACATGTACTTTTATTTTGTGTGCGTTTATGCAGATTGAAATGGGCAGCACAAATGTCAGGGTTGGATCAACCATATTTGGTGCAAGAGAATACCCAAAGAAGAACTAGGATAATTACAGGGTTTTATTGTGAGACCGTGCATCTAACAGCTGCAGTATTGGTGGTAAATAAATATCTATTTCCACCGATATTTACACTTCGATGTTTTACGCAAGTGCCATAAATAAGGATATTGTTTTGTCATGTGTCTCCTATTATTAGACATTCAGAGAGCACTGGAATTCCAACTTCCCGATTCATCAGTAGCTTCCCAATAATGTCCACATTAAAATCCCTTATGTCAGTCGACGTTTGTGATCAGCCAGAAATCCTGATATTGTATTTGTCCGTGATGTTTCTTGGTAGCCTAAAAGTAATGAACAAATCCTTTGATTTCCATCATTATATAACTTCTTTTTGTAACGCATCTTTTGCATAAGGTACCAAACCACTTCAGAGCATCTCTATCACATCCCCAATACTTACCCCCCAAAAACAACTTATTGGGAGGCTCCCAAGAAAATTCTGTTTATTAGGAGGCTGTGAACTAGCGGATCATCTAAACTTAATTTCTTTTGCTAGTTCACACCCCCTTTTGCATGAAATATGAATCTCAACTATATTTTCATATCATTGTAGAAAAAAGAAAAGGACAAGGAAAAAGAGAT